TGCTTTTCTTTACTACAAAGAAACTCCATTTACCTGCAAAGAAGGAAATTTTTTATAGGAAGTAAGAAGTCAAGCAGGTAAATAGCATCCTGCTTGAAGCAGAGACAGCCTGAGGGTTGCTGGAGGAAGGACAAGAAGATGGAGCTGCTCAGTGCGGGTCAAATGAGGGATGGCTGAGAAGTCCAAGATGCAAAGAGGGCTCTGGGGACGAGCGAGCTCCCTTGCATTTCCAGGATCAGGAGGCGGATTCCACTTGCTGCTCATGGCCTCTGGTGAAGTAGTGAAAGCTACAGGACCACAGGTTTTGATTCAGTTTAAGGAGCAACGTGTCAGTCACAGGCAGCAGCATAAGGTTCAGTGACAGCGAGTCAGCCCTGCCTGCACAGGAGAATCCCCTGGGGAGCTTCTAAAAGTCTGATTTTCAGGCTGTGCCACAAACCAATTTTCAATGGGATGCTGTATAGCGGGATCCACACCCTGGAATTTTTCAATGCTCTCCAGGTGACATGCAGCCAAGACTGAGAGCTGTGTGTTACAAACATGAACTTGCACAGGAATGACCAGGTAATCTTGTTAAAATGCACATTCTAGTTTGGTCCATTGGGGTGGGGCCTGAAAGCATGCATTTCTAACCAGCTGCAGGGTATCCCTGGTGAAGCTGGCTTTCTAGCTACTGACCAGCATGTCACAGGGAGTGTCAAGAAAAAGATAGAAGGTTACAACTTACGGCTATTGCAGAGAAGGCTTATGCACTGAATAGAGACTGGAATTACAACAATGCTCTTCAACCTCCCTGTAACAGCTGCAATCTTGCGCCACCACTGCCAAACATAATTATCCACAGAAAGCCAGTATATAAACCCAGCAAGGCTGAGCAGTCTTGTAGAGGAAAGGTGGGGAGCCCAGAGCCCTGCCCTCTTGGCTTCCTCCCCCGACCCCACAGCACCCCAAATCTCCATGAAGTTCATTAGAAGACACCCTAAATACTATTTTTAAATGATTTTATTTATTTGTTTTTAGGGAGAAAAGAAGGAAGGGCAAAAGAGAGGGGAAGAAACATCAATGTGTGGTTGCCTCTAGAGCACCCCCTACTGGGCACCTAGCCCACAACCCAGGCATGTGCCCTGACTGGGAATCAAACCAGCCAGCCTTTGGTCCGCATGTCAGCGCTCAATCCACTGAGCCACTCTAGCCAGGGCCACCCTAGATACTATTTAATAAATGTATCTATCTTCATTTCAAATGCTGAGGATTATTTCAGAAACTGGAACTGCTGATGCTTCGATGATGAGGGGAGTCTAGCCTAGTGAACCTTCAGTGAGCCTGGATTAGTGAGCATTAAGGTATTAAGGTGTTAGGGTCAGGATAATATCTGCAGAACTTGGGGCTATGCCATCTGTATTCAGCATGTTTATCCTGTAAAATGCGTCAAGCCCGACTCATTGCTTAGAGGAATGAGCTGGAGAGAAAAAAGACAAGAAGCTGTGACATGTACCTTCCTTCTGAAAAGACTGATAAGTGCATTGGCAGGATTTAATAATCAAAATCAGTGTACATCTCATCAAGTGGGAACCAAGCCGTCCCTTCTGTCGTTGTTAGTTGTAGTCACTCCTGACGCTTTCTCTGGCTCATTTCTGGTGCATCCCTGACCCTGATCTCGTCTCCCAACGCAGATATTAATTCTGAGCACTGCTAAAATCATGCCTTGCAGGAACCTAGGGAATATCACATTCAAGAGCCAAAAAATGCATGGAGCGTACAAAACAGGATTGCACTAGGTTCATTAAACGGCTCTCTAAAATAATAATTTTGGCAAGAAATAAAAAAACAGGCTTACTTCCAATTAACTACAGGATATGGTAAAAATTTCTCCAAAAAAAGTGTCAAAGGGGAATAAATACATTTATTTTCATTTTCTTAATGATGAAATTTTATTGATTTGATCTACAATCATTTAGAATTTTTAACAACTTAGACATTGTTTGGATAGAGTATTTGCAATGTCTTTATCTGAGCCAGAATCAAGCAGATGTATTTAACCTTTGATCCTGTTCAAACCCAAACTTCCAGGCTGTTTGTTTGTTTGTTTTGAAGAGGGATGTTGAGGAGTACCTGGAGAGGGCAGAACATTGCAAACTGTGGGACCCAGCTCATCTGAAGTGGTGTTTTTTTAATTAAATTTGTTTTATTGTGATAAAATATACCTAACAAAATTTACTACTTTACATTCACAATATTGTGCAACAATCACCATTATCCATTTCCTGATTTTCCATCATGACAATTTCTGTACCAATTACTAATCTACTTTCTGTCTCTATGAATTTGCTTATTCTAGATATTTCATACAGGTGGAATCATACAATATTTGTCCTTCTGCGTTTGGCTTATTCACTTGGCATAATGTTTGCAAGTTTTATCCATGTTGTAGTATATATCAGAAATTCTTTTCTAAGGCTGAATGATAGTCCATTAGATGTATATGCCACATTTTGTTTATCCATTCATGTATTGAGGGACATCTGAGCTGTTTTAACCTTTTGGCTTATTGTGAATAGTGCTGCTGTGGGTTTTAGAATGGTTAGTTTGCATATTAAAGACATAGTAGCAGGAATTATCTCTAGGAAATAACTGTCCTGGGGAGTTGTTAAAATATCAGATACAGCAACTAGAAAATAAGGTTAATGCACACTTTAGTGAGGTCATAAAATCTCAAATAGTAGAGTCCCAACAGGTTTGCAGACCTTCGATCTAAAACAGCAGGTCCTAATGCCAGCTGTATACCAAGGTAACTTGGAGAATTCTCTAAAATATGCTCCCACATTCAGGCCAATTAAATGAGTATCTGCGGGCACTGATCATTTTACAAGTTCCTCTGGTGATTTTCATGCCCTTTAGGGGCTGCATAAAACAGTGTTTCTTAAAGACTAAATCCAGATGAGCAGCAGCATCACCTGGGAACTGGTTATAAAGGTTGATTCTCAGACCCCGCCCCAGAATTGCAAGGCTGGAAACGCTGGGTGTGGTCCAGCCCTCTGTGTCTGTGCAAGCCCACCAGGTGATGCTAAAGCTGTATCAAACTGGAGAACCACTGGTCCAAGTTAAGGAGCATGGGTGTCTTGTCTGTAATATCTCCCATCGTGTCCCTGACTCCAACATGGACGCTCTGTGCTCTGAGGCAGTGACCTTGGTAAGCTCAACTAAAATGTTTTATCACCAAAGAAGTATCAGTCTGCATAAGGCAGGCTGTTCTTACAGGTAGGAAAAGAAGGTACAGCCTGGAGGTTCTCAGAATACATAGCTACTGCTTTGATTCCAGTAATAGGGAAGGGGACTGAGGTGAGGTAGGAAACACAGTGTACAATCACTGCTGCGCTGGCTGGAGAGCCCAGAGGCTCCCAAAGGAAGTGACAATAAAGGGGGACCTTGAACATCTGGTGAGACTGGGGCAGCCTGCACAGAATGGATATGCTTGGCTCCCTGCTTTGCCAAATCTATGGTTTGTTACTTAAAAACTCTCAAAGTGTCTCCAAGTTGCAAATTTTAATATTCAGAGGCCTGGCTTTGAATATTAAACTGTGGGGCTTTTCAAAAAAAAAAAAAAATGGTTGAAAGCAGAGTATTGGTAAAGGAGAAATTGAATAAGTGGGTTTCCCTTATTGAAAAAACTTCACTGTGGAGAATAAGCATAAACAGAATGGAATAAAATATCATTGTGTGACTTTTTTTTCATTGACAAAAGCTGATTCTGGATCTTTATTCTAATCCCAGCTCCTCTTCTTACCAGCTGTGGATTTATACAATTTCATTAACTTCTATACATCAGTTTCCTCTTCTACAAAACGGAAACATAACAGTACCCTCCCAATCATTTGTTTTCAAGATTAAATGAGAGTGCTAGCAAAGTGTTTGGCATTGCACTGGTCACTCAGTGAGATCCAACTCCCACTTCTGCTATGAATACCATCATTAACATTATTAACACAGTGACCTAGAGTGAAACTCCCAAAGTATTAGCTGTTATTATTATTATTCCCATTAAAAATGCTGAGCCTCTCCATTAAACTCACATCTGCAGAAAGGGCTATAACTAGCCAGATTTGCCAATGACCCCTTGAGAAAAAATATCCTGTCTCAAAATTTGAAAAACTTATTTGGATGTCCTACTTAGAAAGAGCCTTGTCTGACAGAGCAGGATAAATTATGCTGCTGTGACACACCCCCAAAATCTCAGCAGTTTGACACTGCAAAGAGTTATTTCTTGCCCATGTCCCAGTCAAACTCAAGTCAGTTGCTGTCTGAACTCCAAACAGTGACTCAGAGACCCAGGCAGCTTCCAGCTGGAGATATATTTTAAAGAACCAGACTTAGGAGTGGTTTGCACTTTGTAGCTTTTTCCCACTTATCCTAGTCTTGGATAAGTCTTATCTCTCTTCTCCAGGCTAATTAGTCTTCTGTCTGTGACTCCATTTGTCATATAGAATGGACTAGAGCCCAAAATCATCATGGTGGCTCTCATCTGAAGGCACTAGCTGGTCTACATCCCTGCACCAAAATCAAGTCTAAGTGTAATCTGAAAGGTATGAACTGGGCGGTACAGTCACCTCCTTCTTTCTAGAGCATCTACTTATAATGATGAAGCTTGAGGCTGCATTTTTTGGGGGGAGGGAAGGAGAATGACAGCAATATTGAATTCAACATTAAAATTGCCATAGGTATACAATGGATTCGATTCCCTTTAATTAATGTTTATTCTTCTCTTTCCGATCTGAACAGGAATCTTCATTATGGGAAAAGTCCACTAAGAAGATATAAGTTGACGAGATTTGCTTTCTCTGGTTTACCCATTAAATATATCACCCATTCATCCAGTGCAGGTTGCAAGCCTCTCTTGGGTGTGTCTTATCATCCAAACATATTAATGGCAAATGCTGAGAAAGGTAGCTGTCAAGCTTTGATCTTGTTTCTTAGACCGACCCATCCCATCCACTTTGCTGCAGGTACCACATTTGCGTGACTGTTCTGATCTACTTCCTCCCCCTGCTGGTGATCGGCTACGCATACACCGTAGTGGGAATTACACTGTGGGCCAGCGAGATTCCCGGGGACTCCTCTGACCGTTACCACGAGCAAGTATCTGCCAAGCGCAAGGTGAGCAACGGAGAGGCACAACCTAAGCCACCCTGGCAAAGGCAACAGGCTGGCAAGCATATGGGCCCCGGAGCCTCACAAGGCTCAGAGGTAGCAGGCACAAAGCATCCCTGGGTCTAGGGAACAGCAGAGGGGACAGGAGGGGAGGGGAGGGGAGAGGACAGGCCCTTCTTCAGTGTACTGGTAACCTGGGTTTGCCCCTACAGTGCGACCTTGCTTGGCCTTAATAGTAATTGCAACCTATCAAACCATTAACACACACACACACACACACACACACACACACACACACACAGTATTTAACCACGAAAGCATTAAAGAGTTATTTAATCCTCTTTTATTATTCATTTAAAATTTGGCAAAATAATGCATTTATTTGGTGAAAACATAAAAAGTATTGTATTCAAAGGAGCCCCAGTATGGTGGTGGGGAACAGGTCAGGGGTTAGGAGGGTCGTACTGGAGCAGTTCTGTATCCTGATTGTGGTAGTGTTTTCACTCATCTATACATGTAATAAAATTTCATAGAATTATACACTTCCCAAAATGAGCCTGTGTAAAAACAGGCAAATCCAAATATAGCCTGCAGGTTTGTTTCTAACACTGCACCCATGCCACGTGGTATAGTTATGTAAGACGGTGTCACTGGAGGAAGCTGGGAACTCTCTGCACTATTTTTGCTACTTCTTGGGAGTCTTAAATTATTTCAGAATGAAAAGTTAAAAAACCATACACAGAGTCTTACCGTGAAAAGGATCCCTCCTTTCTAGTTTCTTCCCCTACCCAGGTCCCAAGTTCATGCTCACAATCACTATTGTAGCCATCATTATTTGTTTCTTATTCATAAATATTATAATGCATTTATAAACTAAATAAATACCAATTATTTTCTTTCTTCTTTTTTCATGCAAATAGTGAATATACACTTTTTGCCCTTCACTTTTTTTCATTTAAAAATATCCAGAAAAAAATATCCAAAAGACCTTCAATAAGCAATATATAAACAGATTTCTCATTCTTTTTTTTTCCTTTTGGTACATATTTGCATAATATTTCATTGTGTGGAGGCTGGGTAGTTCTTCACTGATTTACTGGGGAGAGAGAAAAGGTCAGTGTTCAAAAAATCTTGTGAATCCCCTTTAAACAGCTGATGCTCCCCTCTGGCAGCTGTCCAAATCCTGTCCCTTCTCCTTCCCTCCTGCTGAGATTCCAAGCAAAGAGCTGCCCTAGCTCATTGCCTCTCCCCCTCTGGCATTTCCCCACTTCCTCAGTCCTTGCTTCTTGAACCCCCGTTCCCCTTGGCTCATTAATCTGGCCTCCCTTTGCTTCTGTACTCATTGCCCAGAGAATGATATAACGTGATGATTCTCAAACATCAGTGTGCATCAGAATCAAACACAGAGGGAGTCTGTGTCCCACCCTCAGAGTGTCTTATTTGGTGAGTCTGGGTGGGGTCCAAGAAGTAGCATTTCTGACAAGGTCTCAAGAGATGGTGATGATGCCAGTCCTGGGGCCACGCCAGGGCCATGCCAGGGCCGCGCTCTCAGAACCACTGCCATAATCCGAGCCCTTCGGTAACAGATATAAAATGTCCTTCTTCCTCCTCAAAAGGGGTTAATTAGAAATACTTCCCACCGCATACTGCACTATGTGCAGTGAGCGGGTGGTGGGAGAAGAAAGAAAGTAGCCATGAGAAAAGGAGAGCGTGCTGGTGTCTCACCCGTCTCGCCCTCTGCCAGGTGGTCAAGATGATGATTGTCGTGGTGTGCACTTTCGCCATCTGCTGGCTTCCCTTCCACATCTTCTTCCTCCTGCCCTACATCAACCCAGACCTCTACCTGAAAAAGTTCATTCAGCAGTTCTATCTGGCCATCATGTGGCTGGCCATGAGCTCCACCATGTATAACCCGATCATCTACTGCTGCCTCAATGACAGGTGAGAACCCCATCCCCCAGACTCTTTCCAGGGACCACAAGACCATCTGTCTATATAATAAACACCAAGCTGCCAAACTAAATGAGCAAACCTGGCTGTGAGACAACAGGGAGTGCTGGGAACTGCAGCAAACCAGGCACCCCTGCTGATTATCACCATGGCAGAAATATGAGCCCAGAGTGGACATAGTCTTCTTTTCTAAAAGGAACCAGAAATCCATGTTTGTGTGATATCTTCTAACTTTTAAACACTGGCAACTAAGTCAATGGGAATGGGGTGCAGATTAAAAAAGTAAACAAAAAACAAACAAACAAACTTCTGTGCTTGATGCACATACAGCAGGTCCGCTAGATGGACCCAGCCTGTGGCCTGTGAGTTGGCTCACTCTGCCCTGTGGATTCATCGCACAGGCGCAGTGCGTGGAAGCAGAGAGGCAGTCAGTGTGAGTCAGGTCGAGAGAGGGATACTGAAAGAACATGATTGGCAGAAAGGCATCCTTCAGACAGTGAACGATATGAAGGAAGGGACCGAATTGTCCTGTATTTACTGCATAGTTACTAGCGCAGTATAGTCCACAGAACAAACCTGTGGTGAATATTTTATTTTGATGTTGAGTGACCCATAGCTGGCTGACCCTGCACCAGTGAAGGCAGCGTAGTCTAGTAGCTGCCCTCAGGAAAGACGTATTTCACCTGAACCTGAGTTCTAGTGCTGGGTTTGACTGTAATGACCAACGTTTAAATCTATTTGGCCTTACTGTCTCCAGTTGTCAATTAATTTTTAAAATAATAACACAGAGCTATGCTTGGGGGTATGCACATGTTGAAGAGCTGGTGCAGTGGTGGAAGGCCTTCTGAAAGCAGGCTGCGCCCACATCACCGCTCCCCTGCTCTTCCTCCAGGTTCCGGCTGGGCTTCAAGCATGCCTTCCGGTGCTGCCCCTTCATCAGTGCGGGTGACTACGAGGGGCTCGAAATGAAATCCACGCGCTACCTCCAGACCCAGGGCAGTGTGTATAAAGTCAGCCGCCTGGAGACCACCGTCTCCACAGTGGTGGGGAACCAAGAGGAGGAGCTGGAGGATGGCCCCAAGGCCACGCCCTCATCCCTGGACCTGACCTCCAATGGCTCTTCTCGCAGCGACTCCAAGACCATGACAGAGAGCCTCAGCTTCTACTCCAACATGCTCTCCTAGACCCCGCAGCCTTCAGCAGGGGCAGCCACCATTGTCTTTGTCCTGCTTCACTTCATGCATGGATAATTCCTGGGTCTGGAAACCATCCAAAAACCTTGGGGCTTGTAAAAAGAGTCAGAATGGTTTAGGAAAAACATTCCATCATGGAGTCAAATAACCTGGATTCTTCCATTTGTTGCCACCCCCATGCTGTGACCCAAGGCAAATCATTGAACTTCTCCGAGCCTGTAAATGGAAAGGTTGTGCTCAATGTTCTCTACAAACCATTCCATGGTTCTAGAATCAACTTTGGTCACATGTAAGCCCTCATTTCAAGATGAATCCGGCAATGTAATAATAGATCTAACTGATCTGCTTGCCTGGAGCCTCTGTCTCACTTCAGTAAAGTCATTCTCAGTCAAGCTCAGATTACCCTCCTTTAGCTGGTAGAACCAAAGAAGGAACCCTAGAAAATCTGAATGAGGAATTTAACGACAAGCACTTGTGAAAAGAAGACAAAATCTGTCTCTTTTTGGCACCTCGATATTTTAGGGCATTTAACATCATGGGATTGAGAGCCTCAGATTCATCTGCATTCTGTCCCCCAGTGACTGTCCTGAGCAGCTGATGTCAGTCACAGGCCAAGAGTCAGGAGAGCTGTGGTGTACTTAGTCTGTCTGAGCCTTTCTTTCCTAATTTATAAAACTGTGGGGCTGAACTAGATCATCTAAGTGTCTCTCAAATTTTAACATTCAGGGGTTCAATGATTGTATGAGTTTTTGTTTGTTTCACCGAAAAATGATGGTCTGAAAAAGAATAGGAGAACAGAGTCCAGTGACTTAATACCAAGCTCCTAGAGACATAGCAACTGCTAAGACCACATGTCAACACCCATGTCAAACATTCTCTGATTTGTCCTAAAATGTGAGTACTTTTTTTCTCCTGGAAGGTTTTAGCCTTTAATAGAGCTGAGGTCTTGGTGTCAAAGCCTGAATCTCTCCACCAGGTTTTGGCAGGCAGAGCTTGCAGCTGGAGATAACATCAGGGAAACTAATTTGTGGGCTCCCTGGTCTGGCCTTTTGGGTGTCTTAAGACAGAGGCACTAGCTTTACACTAGCATCACGTAGGTGCTCAGATGCCTGGTGAGCAAGGGGGCTGGACACAGCAGCAGCACCTTTGGGAAGAGGACACCTTGCACCTTCCCTTTAGACTCTCAAATCTCTCCCTTCCTGCCACCCTGGCTTTGCTGACCTTCTGTCTATAAGAGGTGGGACAACACACTGACCCTACAAGGTCAGTTCATCTACAAAGATCCATGAATTAATGCTTCATGTCCCAGTACGGCTTTGGGATTTCCATCAAATGAGCATGCAATTCCTTTCTGGCTCCCAGATCTGTCTTTGTCCTGAAATGGCTGAAAACAGAAACTTCATGTAACACCCATGAATGTCCTCCTTGTCATCTGAAGAAAGATGCACTTGTGCTGCACCCATGATCTGGAGGGAGAACAGCACTGTTCACAGGGTTTACAGCCTCACCAGGCCTGCTGGCTCTAACCCGGCCAGGCCACAGCAGGCAGGCCTGGGGGATAGTTGTAGAGCAGCAGTATAAGCTGGAAGGACTTGAGAACCATGCCTTGCAAAGCCTCATGGGAAGGATCAAATAAATTAAGTAAAGCGATCTCAATGCAGATATATGAATGGAAGAAACAATTTAGGGGCAAGAAAAGTCAGTGCTGAAACCATTTGTCATATTTCCAATAAAGAATTGTGCCATTTATGTATGGGTGATTCTCTTCAGATGGCTATAAAGAACCAGCATGATTATAAGAAGAACTTAAGGAGAAAGTTTTAAGGACTTGGGGACATCTTTGTCTATGGACGAGGTTGGAGTTGAATTCAACAAGAATCATGGAGTACTTGCCCTGGACTTGGCCCTGAGCTGGGCACACACAGCTCCTTCCACTCTTGAGGAGCCGTTGTTAACTCACCAGTCCTAGTGGGTCAAGACCACCCAGCAGGCGTGGAGGCAGCTGAGAAGCAGATTCTTCTCAGGATTCTGAAGACCCCCACTTCATATGTATAATCAAGTGAAGGGCAGAGGAACTTTTGCAGTGAGAGTTCTCTAAGATAATTTTAAGGGAAGCCACCAGTAAATCCAGGGGACCTAGCAAGATATTGTTGGACAGCATCGTCACTGCACATAATCAGAGTGCGGGAAGGTAATGGGCAGTTTCGAATATGGCAGAACATCCCCTCTGAAGTAGCCCAGCGAGCCTTCCTCTGGCCCACTCTCCAATGGCCACTTACCTTACAAAAAAAGTCATCAGCTGCCACATATGAGAAACACCATGATTTGCACTGTGCATGGGGCTCAGTCTTATAGAAATGTGTCGCCTTGTGTTTCTCTTCTAAGTGTTTTCCCTTTGTGTATTATGCAGTAGTAATAGAATATAAGACATCATGGGGCCAATCTTTGTTGTGTTACTTCCAAAATATGGGATCCAATTACTGTCAATGTGTTCCCTGTATTGTGCCAACCTTTTCTCCTCCTCACTGTTACAAAAAGAGGAGTTGATGTATGTCATGGACACGCAGTCAGGTCATAGTAACTAAGGGGTGGGGAGGGGAACTTTTATGGGAGGAAGTAAAGAGCAGGAGTCCTTGTCCTCTCCCCCAATACCAGAATGCTGAGATGTGCTGGAATGTCTTCTCTCTTGGAAGGACTGAGGAGACTTCTAGGAAAAGGGGACTCAGGAGCTGATCTTATTGACTCTGCTTTCTGGAAGAATCCTGTATATAAGCAAGGTCATTCCTGAGATTTCTGTTTTCCAGCCTGGGATCCTGGAAAGAATTTCCATAGAGAAATAAAGTATGTGTTCGACTATTTCATGCCTCTGTCCCATCTCCAGGGAATCTCAGCACCTTACAGGAGGCTGAACAGGGTGGTCCTCTGAACCCTAACCGCTTGCACAGTCAGGAGAATGAAACCCAACACCCAGCAATCTTCTAACTCTGTGGCAAAATGAGTTGACAAAATGTGGGGACTGTGTCCAAGTGAGGATCTGGGAAGGTAAGGTGGGATTATGGGAAGTGACAACAATGTCATATGTGAGAAGAGCTGTGTCAGTTCAGAGCGTCCTGAAGCAGATGTCAAGGCAGAGTTAGAAGTGCAAGAGATTTATTGGGGGAAATACTTGGGGAGAAGATAAAGAGGAGAGGAAGCAAAGGGCAAGAGGATAAATCAAAGCCAGAAAGAGCTTCATGGGCAGTGAGTGTACCCTGCTTCCCTCCGCTCTGTCCCACATCCTCCTCATGCACTGATGCTGTTCTTCAAACCCACATGTTGGCATGGTCAAGAGACAACAGCACTGGAACACGGCTTTCCTCTGGAGTTTGCTCTTCCCCTGGCTCAACCTAGAGGCTGGAGTAGCAGGGGAGTCCAGACACTGCTGTGCAGATCTGGCACCTAAGGAGAAGTGGGGAGGGGGGAGTGGGCAGGAAGAGCCTCAGACTGGGTGAGGCTCGGAGAAAGTCTCAGCTTGCCAATGGGTGCTCATAGATGTGGCCCATATTGGCAAAAATGGCCAGGCCTGGTACCCCTGTTGCTGGGGCACCAGCTGGCTGCTCTCTGGGGAGTGAATGGTCTGTGTTTGAACACCCTCGTGGGTTCTGAAGGCACAGCAGCTGATGGCCAGCAGCGAGCAGTCGGCATTCCCACCTGAAAGGAGATCTGAGCCCAGACCCCCACAACTGCCACCAGAGCTTTGGTCAAGCCTCCTGTGTTTAGAAACCACATCAGGAAACCTTTGGTAGGATTTGAAATTTTAATGATAACCTCTGTCAACCCTGACAACCTATACCAACTTCCGGGAGTCACTCTGTCCCACCTCACCACTCAAGCCCACTCCCTCAAAATAGCCATAAGCAGCTGTTAAAGCTCTTAGTGGACTTGAAATGGCAAAGCCTGGGGAGGCATTGAAAGAGGGAGTAGTGAGGAGAACATACTAAGCCACCCGATAAATTCTGTATTAGAAACAAATAACAAAGATATTTCTATTTAAACTAACGCAGCTTAAACTGGGATGCCTGGATAAGCTTCAATGAATCCACAAATCCCCTTCAAGATCCCCACAAATCACATGTCAAACAGTGTGTGTGTGTGTGTGTGTGTGTGTGTGTGTGTGTGTGTAATAAGGGGTGCAAAACCTGAATCTTCTCAGAAAAAGTCATTCACCCTTGGCTCTCCAGAGAAGGAGGGAAACTAAGCTACTCAGGGCAGAGGGGTGTGGAGCGGGAGACCGCGAGAGCACAGTGAGAGGCAGATGAGCCCCAGGAGAACCGGAATCACTGCCAGGAAACTGGAAACAGTTTTGGAACAAAATCATAATTCACCACAGGCTCCCGGAGGAGTTAAAGCTGTAGAATGTCATTAGAAATGTTCGTGTCAGTAAAAATACCAAGTTCATGATTAAGAGGTATGCTCTTCTCTGTGAGAAGATGAGTATTTGTTAGCTGAGGAAAAACTAAGTTTAGTTACAGGTCAAAAAATAATTCCAGCTGTGGAGTATGGACATTCCTGTGAAAATGCAAGGACCTCCTGTGTCAGCACAGATTACACACCAGGGACACTTGACACTCAACCTTAGGAGCCACTCTGGTTTTGGTAACAACCCTCCCCTCCCCCTCGCCTCCCCATCACCATGGCTCTTCAAATCTCTTCCATGGAACGTACACAATCTCCTGAGCTCTAGAGCCTGAGAGCAGGATTTCGGTCAAGGCCCCAAGCCAAGGTAAGCAAGGTGGAGCACACCAAGAATACTTCTCTCCTTCATCTTCAAAGGTGAAGGCAGCACCTGACTGCAGAAACGGCTTTCCACTGAATCCCAAGCCAAGGTTCTGAGATGCCCTCATGCATCTCTCCCCAGTTCAGGAGAAGAGAGAGGAAGAGAATGAGGCCATGCATGAGAGGGCGTTCTTCACAAGCTGCATATTCAACACAGTGGCTGTGACTGCTGGTCC